GCTCAGCACTTTTGGCCATTAGAAAAATGCAAATCAAACAACACTGAAATTCCATCTTATATGAGAAAGGATGGCATTATCAAGAAATCAAGTAACAAATGCTGGCACAGCTGTAAGGGAGGAGAAGGAGCCCTTCTACACTGTTCACAAGAACATGAACTAATGCAGCTACATTTGGAAGTCAGAATGGAGATTCCTGAAAAGTGCAAACTAGCAATTCCACTCAGCCCCTTTGTAAGTATCTTCCCAAAAGAGTTAAGGACAGTGTATTCCAAGGATACACACATACCCATATTTATAGCAGCACCATTCATAATAGCTAAGCAGCCTGTATGCCTATCAGCAGATGCCTGGATAAAGTGTGGCATTTACACACAATGGATGTGCCTCTACACCATAATGCCCACCCAAAAAATGACACACAGAAGGATCAGTATGGCATGATTTGTCTTATGTGAGAAACCCTGAGTATAATTTAAAGAGGAGACAGATGATAGAAGACAGACGTGGAGATAGGTAGGGGCGGTGGGGTTGGGAGATGACAGGGCAGGAGAAGTCAGGGTTGAGGTGTGATAGGTGCATGTTCCAGTTCCCACAACAAATGTGCCCACTCTGTGTCATACAAAGGGGGTGGGGGACAGTAGGAGGTCACTGGAGATCACCCACGAGAGGACTGTGGAGCCCCATCGCTCCCTCCCTTTTACTCCCTGGCTTGGAGGTGAGGGGTTCTGCCAGGCCACATGTTGCCACCTTGCTCCAGAGCCCTGGATCGTGATCTGGGACTTGTAAACGACGAAGCAAACAACCTTTTCTTCTTAGCCCTCATGCGTATTACAGAGACAGACAGCGAGCACAGTCATCCTATGGAGATCACTCAGAACTCATGGATATGCTGGGCGTGGTAGCGCATGCCATAATCTGAGCACTGGGGAAGCTGAGAGAGGAGGATCACTGAGCTTGGGGCCAGCTTGGGTACACAGCAAGATGCTATCTCAAAAAGTTTCAGACAAAAGTTAAACAGTTTATGTGGGAAGCTCTGTAATTGGCTGCCACCTTATATCTGCAGGCTGTAACACCTTAATTCCCTCTAGGAGTTGTTTGGTAATTAAGCAGCACCTTGCCTAGCTTGTTTGGCCTGGCCTATTATTCAGGGATTATGCTTATGAGCCAGTGCGTGGGAAATTTGAAAATTTGATTTAACCTATGACCCTCAGGCTTGCCACTGTTGCTAAGTTACCTGCTGACATCTCAGAACCCAACTCCCTCCTCCCCAATACCCTATATATTACTCATTCCGTGAATAAAGGAGACTTGAACAGAAGGACTTCGTCTTGTCTCCGTTCTTTGTGTCTGTTGTCCCCTCTTCATCCCCACTCCCCCTCTAGGGTCTCCATGGACTTACCCACCGGCCGGGACAAGTTTACAAAGAGAGCCTGACATTAGAGTGCCACTTGTCCCTGAGTTTATGACTCACTTGTGAAGGATCTGAACCACTGCCCAAGTGCTTCAGAGTTGATGTATTTGGACCCTTGTGGGAGACCCTCCAGGCTCAGCCCCAGTGCAGGATAGTGGCCCACAGTTAAGGCTCAGCATGACCTTCCCAGAAGTAGCATTCACCCACGGCTGCTCCTTGTCAAAGCCAATCACCTACCTGCTCAGGACTGATGAGGGAAGCAATGATCTGGAAACAGTTCCCACATTCCAGCACCTATTTCCTGTAAACTGAACATTTCTATCTCTTCTCCAGCAACCTAGATCCCTGAACCAGTAATTAGGTACAGTGGATCTCAGTATCACAATCCTTGCACAGTAGAACATAGTAAAAGCTTCACACAGCAAGTCAGAAAACTTGCCACTGTGATATTAAATAATAGCACTTAAAAATATATATCAGTAGATGGGCATGAAGTCACATACCTGTAATCACAACACTCTGGGAGGCTGAGGCAGGGTGATTTCAAGTTTTACCCCAGTCTGGTTAACTTAGCAACTTAGCCCCTGTCACAAAACTCAAGAAGTGGAGATGTAGCTAAATGAGGCAGCCTTGGGCTCGAGATCTCCAGTATGGACAAAATAAATAGCAGCAGCGGTAAAACTACAGCCTTAGAAAATGATTTACAGGAAACCATTCTGGCTGGATGCCCCCCAGCCCCCTAGAGCAGCTCAGATGCTCCCTGTTGAAACGCAGACCTGCCCCTTCTCTAAGTTTTCAAATGGTGACCTGTACAAGTCGGGGAGGGGACCTGACAGCATGGACTGGGACCTCATCATGAGCCATGTTCTCCTAACAAGCTTGAGGCTGCTGGCACTACTTCCCTGTCAAGCAAGAAGTGGGTTGAGCCGTCCAGGTTGGTCACTTACCAAGGATCAACACTTAGCTACTGCCCTAAGCTGCCACTTGGTCAGCTGCCATGTGTAACCCTTGGAGAGTAAGGGAGAATCCTTCATGTCTTCATGTATCTCTTAGGAGTGATAGACAGAGATGGATAGATGTGCTGGCCACGGAGGACTCAGTAAAGACCAGGAAAAAGCATTTATTCCTGGTGTGATGAGTGGAAAGAGGCTGTGGAGCAGGGGCGGGGTGACAGCTCCGTCAGGGAAGCCAGGGGTAGCTTTCTGGGTAGGAGGCGACTTCACTGTGCCCCCAATCAGAAGTCTGGGGAGCCATCGAAGCAGGGAGTGATGTGACTGGAAGGGTGGTTGTGCAGGCCTCTCTGGCTGCAGCTGACACCTTGAAGTGAGGGGACGAGGGGGCGTTCACCACAATCCACAGCTTGGGCCCAGGCCAGCTGGCTCTCAGAGCAGCTGCCAAGGACAACAGCCTCCTCTCCTGCTCAGACTGCTACAAGGCTTTGAGATGGGTGACAGCTCCAGACTGAATGCCACCTCATAAGATCCATCTCATATTCCCTTTGTCTAAGTGAGCTGCTCGGGGACTGTAAGAAGGACTCCCTCAAGTTGGTTGTCAGGATTTTCATCAACATAGGAAAGCCACAGGTCCCAAATCTGCACAGGTGAATTCACTGGGGCCAGTAAAAATAAACATCACGGAAAAGTTGCCCTGGGGAGCATGGGCCTGTAATTATAGCACTCAGGAGGCCAAGCAGGAAGATGAAACGTTCAAGGCCATCCTGAGCTACGTAGCAAGCACAGAGCCACTTAGCATGCATGAAGCCTTTAGTTAAAGCCCTGGCAACAAAGGAAAAAAGTCACCTTCTGTCCTGAAGGCTCAAAAGGTTATCGTTTAGTGTGATAACATTTATTAAACCAACATTCTTGAAATCATAACAGTATTTAACCTTCTAAAATCACTTCATCTACTTCTAAAGGATCTAATAACATGACCTGGAAGCTATGACAATAACCCGATTCAATCCCAATGGCACAAGCCAAAAACCACCCTGAGGGGGTGACAAGTGATTGCCACCCGTACAAGGGACACAGTGTCACTGTTCTAACTCCCAGTGTGTTCCCAGGCTATTAGAATTACTCAGAACACACTGATAGCATCCTCAATTTCCCACTGGTAAAGACATGTTAAGCATAGAGAAAAAACTATCATTAATTCCCAGAAAGAGTATTACACTTCTCATAGAGCTCAGTGACTCCTTAAACGCCTAAGTTCTCTGATGACTTTGATATGATCTTCTCGATTCACAGGCATGGGAGCCGAATGACTGATTAGCAGCCTTCTCCTCGCTCTAATATCCCGGAGATTTCTTAGGTTGATGTTTCCCTGCTAATAAGTTTCTTGTTATTTCATGTTTTCCACAGAACCCTAAGGGAACACAGGCCAATTTAGGAAAAAGCCAAAAGCACAGAAGCAACCAGAGATCAGGGGTCGATTCTGCACACACTTGACCCACAGCCTGGTATCCATGCAGAGGCAGGAAGATGACGTCACAAGTGTTCTTTCCAAAGGACAAGGTCACCACAGCAGGCCGGATCATGAGCACATGCCCTCCTCCCTGGGACCCCTGCTCACCCACAGAACACAAGGTTCACATGGGGTTCTAATCGCCTCTAAGATTCCAAGGAAGCCTGGCTCACAGCCACCCAAAGGAAGCTGCAGTTAATGCCGAGAAAAACCTCCTCCTGTGGATAATCTGCTTTTCTTTGCCCTGCAGCTGGGGGCTGAGCAGTTGGTGACTGGCGACAGTTGTGGTCCAACTGTCCCCTGGGCAGTGGGGGTGGGCTACAGCTTTCCTCTGGGAATCCCACCCGCTCTGGGCAGGGTACCAGCAGGAGCAGTGGCCTATTGAGGACCAGAAAACCCTGTCTGCAGGAAAGATCATTCCACAACCATCCTACCTGCCGAAGGGAGTGTGTTTCCAGAGCTACCTCCTCAAGGGGAGTTCCAGCCCACTGAGTAGTGCACAGGGAACAAGCCTGAGAACAGCTAGGGGAAGCAGCCACTCCTCTCCTGTCCTTCCTGCCCTTTCCCCAGAAGGAAAAGGCACCCTTTTCACATCTGCTGCCAGGAAGACACCCTCCTAAAGGACACTGCTTATCCTGTGCCAAGTGAAGGCTTCCTGCAGAGCCCTGGGAGAGCATGGGGACCCTCTACCCAGCACCTCCACCCCCATCACTGCGAAGCCCTCTGCTCCTCTGCCTCAGTCTCAGGACAGAGAAACACTGAGTCTCGCTGTGACACCTTGTACCACAGGGATTTCGGCTGTGATTCCAAGTAGTCTGTTTTATAAAGGCCTCACTCTGAGAAATAAAACTCATCAGATGTTACCCCTTGGCGGATAGCTGATATCCTTTCCCCAGCTAACAGCAGCACAGCCTGTGGCACAGGGTTCCAGACAGGCAGCAGGCCACCTCCCCTGCCTGGCCTTGGCCACCTCTGTGATCTTCCGGCCTGCCTAGAGAAGCTGCAGTGCTGCCCGAGGCCACTCCTGCAGCGCACTCGCCAGCAGGCCTGAGAATCACCACCTCGAAAGGCCCAGGCACTGAGAATCCTACAGACGTGTGCCTTCCAGAGAACAACTCACATGCACGGTATCTGAAATGGCAGTTTATTAAAAAAAACAAAACACCCAACTATTGTGTTTTCTTCTCTGCCCATCATTTTCCTAAACAGATGTTACCCAAAGGTGGGGAGGAGAAGATCTTTGCAGATGGACACACTTGCAGGAATCACAAACGGCTCCCGAGTCAGGCACAGAACAAAAGATGATGTAAGAACAACTTCTGTTACAGCAATATCATAATATGACATGAATCATTACAGTGCAGTGGCTGTCATCAAGTTCACAACACGATCTCTTAGCTCCAGAACCAGATAAACTGTAAGCACCGTGCGCTGCTGAGCCAGGAGGACCAGTGCCAGCAGCCACTGCAGCAGGGGACGGTGGGGTAAGGCTTCTCCGGCAGCAAGTCTGCACCCAGGCCGGCCAGCTGTCACTTTGAGTCTTGGTCTTGCTTTTCATCGAGGAGGGCGGAGCGAATCCCCAGCTTTTTCAGTTCTTCCACCAGGTCCCCATTCTGGTGCATCTGCAGAAGGATGTCACAGCCCCCCACAAACTCGCCGTTGAGGTACACCTGCGGGATGGTGGGCCAGTTGGAGTAGTCTTTAATGCCTGGGGACAGAACAGAGCGGCATTACTGAAGCCACTGTGGGGACCCTTCCATGGCAAAATAAACGCGACATTCACCCATCGTCCCTCCCTGGCATCCCCCACTCCCAGAGCAACAGGTTTCAGCGTCAAAAAGACCAGTGCATAACTGGTGACTGTAAACCAGGGTCTTGGATGGTCACCTGGCCGCGCCACTGCCACTAGCTCTCACTGCCTAGGTCTCCTGAGCACTGGGTCAGTAAAGCTCAGCGCCAACGGTGCCCCCCTGGCAGAGGTTACCTGTGTGAACCCAGAGGCCCAGAGAGGAAACTTCACACAGCTGCCCGTCCTGGTCACGCTTTCAGGGGAACACAGCTAGCTAAAGCAAAGGACGGCTCACTGTCCAGGCAGGCCGCCACTGGTGAATGTCCCCGCCTGTCCCGACTGGGTGCCACCACATCCTCACATGCAAGATGCTGAACTGCTGACTTTTATCTGTAATAGTGACTGTATTCCTACAGTCACTGTTATGTGTGGGATGCTTTCATATACCGATGGGTATCTTTAGCCAAAATGAGCACACGGATAAAACATGAACAGGTTCTTCAAGCAAAATACATTTATGCAAATAAATCAGCCAAGTGGTGATTTTTATGTAGATAATTAAAACTTGTTCCTGATATCTGATCACTCATTTATTTTCCAAATAAAACTCCAATGGGTTGCATCACAAGTAACACCTCCAATTTACAATGTGTTTTTCTCTTAAATGTTACTGCCATCTGGAAACAGTGACTGTGCTCTAAATGACAGGGTTGGAGAAAGCTCCTGAGCCACTGGTTTTATCTTTCTTCTCCAGACACCATGGCCATGCCTGGGCATGCTGGTGCCTGCCTATGATTCCGGCACTGGACGTTGAGGCAGGAGGACCTCAAGTTCAAGGCCAACCAGGGTAAGCAGTGAGACCCTTACCTTCTCACCACAAAAAAGGAAGAAAGGAAGAAAAGTTACAGCCTAGGCTGGGGACAGAGCCCAGCACTAGAGTCCTTGGCTAGTATGAGTGAGGCTCTCGGGTTCAAGGCCTGGGGCCGAGGGAAGAGGGAGGGACGAGTCACAATGCCACCAGCCTTCAAAAGCGCACTTCTCAGCCCCTCTGTACATCTTTAAAAAAATCAACGAGAGGGTTGGGAGCTACCAATGAAAAGTAAATTCTAATTATGGGAATGTCTGTTACCACAACCCTGCTGAATTCAAGTTTTTCATCATTCTGAGGTTGGTGCTATAGAAGCAAAAACCTGTTGCCCGTGTGTTATGTGGGTCTTCCCCCACAACCCCCTGTCTCTCTGTCTCTGGCAGTAGTACTAGAGATTGAATCCAAGGGCTTTGCACTGAGCTACATCTCCAGCCTCATTTCTTATTTTGAGATAGGGTCTCACCAAATTAGTAAATTGCCAGGATGGCCTAGAATCCGCCTCACACGTGGTGCTGTGGTGACAGGCATGTGTCACTGTTCCCTTTTTAACTCTACGTCACGTCTAGCCTGTGGGAACTTACTTTACAAACAAGCCTGTTACAAATCTCTTACCCTCATGGTGACTGAGGTGGGGCATGGAAATTAAATGTTCGAAGAGTTGCTCCTTTTAATTCTACTAAACTTATAGATTTTCTTAAATATCTTTCATACAGATGAATGCTTTATGTATAAGCACAATATATCTATTTTAATCAGTAATATAACCCATTGTGATAAATTCTTGCCAATTATTTTCATTTTTGCTACAATTTTGAAACCAATATTGAACAGAAATTTGCTGCCTGAAGACCACCCAAACTACATGTTTACTCCTAAATACTATAACTTGGTTTTAGTAAAATCTGAGCTGAGCACAAGGATCACCTGCTTTTCACCTAATGTCATCTTCAAGCGAAGCATTAAACTCCTGTGGTCACCAGCCTCTCTAGCTGCAGAGTTCCACCTGGCCGTTAGGTAGAGAAGGGCTTCCCCAGGACCCTCACCCAAGCCACCAACACAGTCCTTGCACCTGCCTGGAGTCCAGAGCATCCCTGACACTCACTGGTCACATACAAAGGAAATTGGCCACTACAAACCACTGTTCTGGGCTGTTTTGACTCATAACCAAATCAGAAAAATTCCTGGGGAGCTGGTGGTGCACACTTGTAATCCCAGCATGAGCCCAGGAGGGGAGGCTGAGGCAAGAGGATCACGGGGAATGAGGCCAACCTGAGCTACACAGTGAGTAGATCAGCCTAAACTACACAGCGAGATCTCGTCTCAAAATACAAAATGGAATCTGATCGCAGGTTTCAAATTTATGGAAATACCTGAATGCTCCCTATAGAGCCAAGTGAGAAACTTAAAGACCATTAAAGACTATGGTTCCTAAGTCAAAAAGTAAAATGAACCCTGTGAATTCACAATGGTTTTTAACCAATTTTTTTCTCTTATACTTTAGTTTTCAAAAATCCCAATGTATACTGATAATACCGTAAGTATCACTTCACATAACTCAAAATCAGACAGCAACTCTTGGAAATCAGAGAATCAGACCCCAGAACAAACGTTAATGAAAATCCTATTTCATATGCAGTACAGAAGCCATCCAACTTGGACCACACAGTTATGGAGAAGTGAGACACTAGGGCTGGGATTTGAAGGCCGTCTCACAAAATCAGTTCACATCCGTCTCCTGACCCGTTGAAGATGATGATGATGATGATGATGGATGATGCTCCTCTATCAAGCCATGAAGAGCAGAGAAAACGCACTTGAAAATCCCCTCCCAGAACTTTCGAAAGGTTCTTCCCCAACTCATCACAGCTGAGAATGTCAAGCCTGGCTGGGACACTGTAATCACTGCACAGCACCACAATCTCAGGCAAGTCCTAAGCACGTCACCTCCCAGTCTCATCTTCCCTGACTTGGAGAAGGATAAGGAAGCACAAGCGAGGAAGACAGCACGGGGCCTGATAGATGGGCTCTAGATGAAAGGTCGCAGCTCCAGCTTGCTGGCTGGTAAGTGCAGCTCAAAGGCCTCCTCTAGCCTCAGCTTTGGTTTTCTCATCTGCAAAATGGGCACAACACCTACTACCCCAGAGATTTATTATGATTAAATGAGATAAACCTAATGAAATGATTCAGGCTTCTAACAGCACAAGTCCAATGTGGACATTTGCTCCACGTCAAGGTCCTCTATTGCACTCCACATCAAGGCTTTTGGGAAATATATGGCAGTGGGCACCAGGAAAGAACTCAGGGACACTGCAAGCTGAGTACGCCATGCACTGACACCAGTCTGTTTCACTGAGCTAAGGATTACTGGGTTTTATATACCTGAAATATTTTCTATAAATATCATTTTTACAAGCACCACAGGAGGTAGGTAAGATTATCCTTGTTTTACAGAAGCAGCTAAGGCGTATACTATCCAAAGTGATGGTGCTGATGTAGGGTGGAGCCAGGCTTTGCATCCCGGGCCATAAAGACAGCAAACCCCTGGCAGCCTATAGATTGCAGGCCTCCAGTACCGCACACGGAGCTGCAAAGTGCAGGACCTCCATGTTGAACATGCATGTGCACACACAGTATTTTCACATTATGCCATGATCACTCTTTGTAACTTTTTTTTAGATAAGGTCTCAATAAAAATTGGTGTCAAATTTATAATCTTCCTGCCTTAGCCACCCAAGTGTTGGAATTACAGGCATAGAGCTAGGCATGGTGATGCCTAGCTTGGAAATTATTTTTTGACAAAACATTATATATCTAAGATTTAGCTATCTGAGTTCATTTTAACCAGAATTTAGTTTATTGGTCTATTAGTGTGCTACTAATAGACCAAGCCTCCTGTTTGTCAGTTTTCTACCCTTAAAGTCATGCTGTAATGGTCATGTTACATATAGCCCCTGACACCTGTGCGCAAGTCCTTCTCTTAGACCTGGAAGTGGCAAACCATGGCCTTGGGGCCAAACTAGTCTACTTGCTCATGCAGCTTTTGCGAATAAAGTTTTATTGGAACTCAGCCATGTTTACACAGCACACAAGTGTTTACTCTGGCCCTTGTGAGAGGAAATCAGCCAATCACCAGTCCCAGATGAATTTCTGGGAGTGGAGCAGCTGAGTCCGGGCCTTGTGGGGCACCGTCACTTCCCCCAAAGTGCCCTCCTCCCACCTGCAGCACGGGACGTGTCCCACACATGAGCACACACCCACAACTTGTTACCCGGCTTTCAAAGTTCCCCTCTCTCACCGGTGCTTTCCTCGGGCCTTAAATTCCCTGGCAACATGAAGGCTGAGTGTACTTTCAGATCCTTCATAAACTGCACAGGAGGAGAAGGGAGAGGTGTCGAGGAGATGGAGAGGACCGAGAGGGCAGTGAAGGGCTGGTGGATACAAGGAACAACTTCTAAAATACTCCAGCTGCCGGGCCCCTGCAGTGAAGTGCGGCTGACAGTGAAGCAAACACACTGGGATATTCCCACCTCAAAGAAACTGAGTGCATGCTGTGTTTGTACCCAGAAACATCACACTGTACCCTTCATGTATGGACAACTATGTGCCCCAGAAATCTGGAAGCTAATACAAAAGAAATGAAAAAAGTAACAGGATAGTGGTTATTTACTCCACGCAGGAGTAAATCCCACCCAGGAACACAATGGTGATCTAAACAAGGAGAAACCTTAACACGTGTGTTTATGAGCACAGAAGAGTTTAACATACAGTAATAAAAGCAGCCTTTATTTATTCATTAAGACAGTCCCTAAAATCCTAGCACTTGGGAGGCTGAGGCAGGTGAATCAAGCGTTCAGGGTCAGCACAGGCTACATATATAGAGAATGTCACAAAACAAAACAAGAAACCCTGCACAGGGAGCCTGCTTTGCACAAGCTGAGTACTCGGTCAAAGGCAGTTGCATAAGATCTGCTCTCGGAGGTCACACACCAGGCTGAGGCGAGCAGGATCCCAGCTACTGGAAAGGCCCTGAGACTCCAACCCCAGGAACAAAGGTGGCCTGGAGGCACTGTGTGCTCCAGGGTCCGGGGTCTGTCCTGAGCATGCTGCAGATACAAGTAAGAAGGGGCTCTGCACCTTATGGCTAGTCCTCAGGCACAGCAACCTGTGCTGCTGGGCTTCAGGGGCTCTAAAGATCACCTTCTTTGGCCTGAGGAAAAAGGAAGGGTTAGTTCAGCCTGGGAAAGGTGAGCAGACAAAGCCTGGGCTGGCAGAAGCAAGCACAGGGCAGCCCCTGGGCCACTTGCCAGCAAAAAGTGGGGGCAAAGGAATGTCTCCGGGCTGTGAAGTCCTGATGGGGCTAAGGCAGGGCCTGCTGTGAGAAATGCTTAACTATGCTCGAGTCCAACCGAGAGCACAAACGGTAATCTTCACTTTTCTAAGCAACACACCTAGCACTCCTCCGACAGGCCGAGGCAGAAGGACTTCGAGTCTGAACTCTGCCTGGGGAGTTCAGCAGTTTGGTGAACCGTCTCAAACATTTCTTAAAAGGTTGGGGATGTAGCTCTGTGTGAAGGCCCTGCCATCAATCCCTGGTACCGTACTACAAAAAATAAGGTATACGTTACACTCAATATTTAAGTAATATCTATTAACAAAAATAATCCTGTCTGGCGAAATCCAAAAATCAAGAAACACAAGGTTAAATTCCTCTTGCTACTGTTTAAGCACTCAAGGACACAGATCAGAAGCCATTAGTCAGATGGAAAACAGCAACATTAGCTCTATTAGTAATCAGCTTATTTCTGCTCCCACTTTCCGCTTATTAGTCATATTCCAGGGTGTCCCATGTCCCAGTTATAGCTAACCAGGAAAAATAAACTCACAAACCAAAGGTCCTCAAAACATTATGCTAAGCAAGATATTAAGAGCATAACTTTTGTTAACCATCCCACTGAGATCTGCATGGGGACTCACAGCAAGGTTCTGCTGAAGACAGCTGAGCGGTCCCTTATCTTTGAAGCCAAGAAGCTGCCTCCGAGTGACCACAGACACCCCTGTGTACGATAAACCCAAACTTTGCAGCCAGCAAACTCCAGCTAATCAGGAGGCCACCAGGGTCACATGTGAATGTTACATAAACCTTCACCACTTATCATCCCTCCTGGGTTCCACCCACCAAAACCACCACCGTACAAACACAGGATCCACAACCACAGAGAATTCTGTAAGGATTAGAACATGATACACAGTGGCCTGGGATATAGCTCAGCAGCATGGTGCCTGCCTGGCAAGCGTGTGGTCCTGGATTCGATTCACATTTTCGAAAGAGAGGTGCAGCACAAACATACTTTGAAAACATATGGTACTAATAAAATAGCTACCATTTACCAGGTATTTTCTGTGCCTGATGAAAGGACAGGCACTTTCTGTAATTACTCCTCTTTTCCTTCCCTCCAAAAACTGTGCCAACTGGACAGTGGGATCCGTGCTAGAGGCTTATTAGCCTCATTATACTTTAAAGGAAAAAGCAGTAAGATGGTCTATCTAAGGTTATACCTGACTGGACAGAGAAGAAGATTCCAACCCAAACAACACCAGCCTACCTTCCCGGCCTGCTACAAGGTGGTGGTTAGTAATTTCCAATCAGAGTACAGTCTGTCCAGCCATAAAACCTGAAGTTTCTGCTCAAGTTCTGTAAACACACAGGGACCTTGCTTTCATCCCGTCTCTCCACTTACCCCAACCAAAGTACCCCAACCAAAGCCTGGCGGAAAGGAAGAGGCTCCTGTGCCGGGCCATTCCTCCCTCCCCCCATGGTATGGAGACACTAGGAAGGCACCTGGCACGCTGCTTGAAAGACGCCCAGGACCTGTCAGGGGCTCCTCACCTCCCTCCAGTTGGCTGCTCTGGCTGCTGCTCCCTCGGGCTCCAAGACTGGCACAGTGAGTTCGCCCGGAGCCTAGAAGCCCTTTCAGGCCCCTGACCCCTACTTTGCTCCAAGAGCTCGAGCACATAAAACCAAAGGTCCTGCCTCCCCTCATACTGCGAGCACAGGCTCCTGGCACGACCAGCTGGACTGAAGGGTCACCCCAATCACGAAACACGCCAATGGCTTCCCACGCCATCAGTGCCCCGGCAAAGTGACTACCTCGTAGAGGGAACCACTTTGAGTCCTCGCTTGGGCCCTACTTCCCCAGCCCTACAAGGTGAGGAGCCAAGCTGCTGGCCACCTTTCTCGGACCCCGTCCAAGACAACTACCCCGAAGTATCCACTTCACCTAGGACAAATCAGGGAGCCCCTAGGATGGGCCCCACTGCCCAAGCGCCTCAAAATCCACTCAAGTCCATGACGCCCTCTTCCTGATCGCTACTCAGAGGTGAACTCTGCACCCTAACGCTGGAGCCCGGCGACCCCAGACACTGCGGGGTGAGGCGCAGCAGGACCCCAACCCCGCGGCCTCCGCCTGGCCCGCGGCCTGACCTTGCCGGAGGTCGGGGTCGTCCAGCACGTTGTAGGCCGCGTAGTCGCGGACGCCGTGAAGCCGCAGGATTTGCACCACAGCGTTGCTGAAGCCGCACTGGGGCTGCTCCGGCGTCCCCTTGAGGAAGACCACCACCTTGTCCTTCTTTACCAGCGCGTCCAGCTGCTCCGCCTGGCCGCCGCCGGCGCCCGAGCCCGCCGCCCGCACGCCAGTACCCTGCAGGCCGACGCCGCCCGAACCGCGGCCCCAGCGGAGCAGAGCTGCAGCCGCGCGGCGCAGAGTCCCACTCATCACCGCTCGCCCGATGGAGCCCCACTACGGCCAGAACCTCTGCTGCCTCGGGGAGCCTAGCTCAGGCCCCTGGAGGCCCGGCCCACCCTCTAGAGGTTCTCATTGGGCTGGTTCCACACTGCTCTTCCTGATTGGACAACACTGGCCAGTGTACTCGATGCTACCAATCAGATTGCTTATTCCGGCTGGTGGGCGGTAGCCCTCAAAATGCCTAACCCGCATCCTACGTCCATTCTATTGGCTGTCGGCACCAGTTTTGTCAGTTGATTGGAGAAGTGCATGTCCATCATAGTCCACACCGAGAGCATCGAGAGACAAAACTCCGGCAAGACAATGTTCCTCCGGAGAGCGGCCGGCTAGGATTCTCCGGGACAACGAGGGAAGGCGCTGGGCGGGGCTTGTCTGTTCCGCGGGACGCCGGGAAAGGGTTACTTCCAGGGAACGTTCTGCTTCCGGGGTCGGCCGCGGTCTCCGGGGCGGGAGTAGAGTTGGGGCGGGCGGTCTTCGCCGCCAGCGAGGTGTGCGTCTCCGCCTCTGGGGCCGGCGGCCGCCGTACACGTGGGGACTAAGGACCAAGCCGCGCGGTTGCATCTCCAGGATTTTTATTTGTCTCAACAGTGTGTACCGTGTACTAGCCTGTGTGACCTCTGGGTTTCGGCCCGCGCGGCCTTCCCGCCCTTGTTGGCCCACACGCGGGGCTCGGGAAAGGTTTGGTGCACAGAGAACTGCAGGTAATGGACTGGCGGGTTGGTGCGCAGTCTCAGCGCTCGGAGGCTGAGGCGGGAGGATCGCGTGGACTGGGAAGTTCTAGACCAGCCTGGACGATGTAAGGAGAACTTGCCTCGAAAAGAGACAGAAGTAAATGGTAGTACCGCTTAGCGTTATCACGGAATCTCCGGGGAGATTGGGCGCACGAAGTTTGTCGTTAGCATGAGAAATGAGTAGCAGGTAGAAAGCCCCCTTATTTGCTCTCCTCGCCATTGTACCGATTATCCCACGAGATCTAGTCACTCGCTGGAACAGTGCTTAGGAGCCGCGAGGTGTTGAAAAGGGTGAATCCGAAGAGAAGGACTCCGGGGAGCGTTATCCGATCTGTAGTCTTGGCTCCGCGCGGGGTTGGTGGTACCCTAGAGCACACCAGACTTGCAGAGATAGCGTACTCCGGAGGAAGCTGAGGCATGCCTGCTCGAGAGCCAGCGGGTCCATGTGCAATGTTCCTCTGATAGTTTCCAGTACTGTTGCCACGGTGATAATGGCTGTGCTGTGTCATTATCGATCCACCAACAGTAAGAGAAGCTTTGCAGTCAAGATATTGTTTAGCAGACATAGTGATCTGTTGGACACTAAGTACTGCTACAAACTACTTTTTTTTTTCACTGAGTTGTTTAAAAATGCTAGGGGCTGGCAGTATAGCTCAGCAGCACAGCGCCTGCCTGGCAAGGGCAAGGTCCTGAGTTCGATTCCCGGTACCAAAAAAATAAAAATAAAAAACACCACAAGGAGCTGTACATGGTGGTACATACCTGTAGTCCCAGTAGTCTGGGAGGCTGAGCTGAAAGAATCAAAAATATGAGTCTGGCCTGGGCATTTTAGCAAGCCTGTGGCCCAAAATAAAGAAGAATGGCTGTGTGTGTCACCCAGTGCAGAGGCCTTTGGCCTGCGAAATAGACCCACCCTGTCACCCACAAGCTCTTCATTGTCCTCTTTTCACCCCACCTCTGTTTTTGATGCCAGCTGATTTTCTACCAGGGGACCCACAGTCAGAATCTTTTTGTCTTGCAGACCCATTGATGCCAGGTAAATCAGCATCCCACGACGTAGCATTCCGGGATAGACACATGCAGGGAGGATGCTACTGCGCAGAAGCAGCTGTGGTCTCGGAAGCCACTGATGGAGGTGATGCCCTGCTTGTAACGATGGAGAATGTACTAAATTCCTTCCAGAAGCATCTGTTTACTCACGCTTACATTGGAGTAAGTTCCTTTTTTAAAAAAATAAATATGACGGTTTGTTCCTTACAACCTACACTGATTGTTGCTTACTGTGACCTGTCTGTCTGTGCTTTTGTGCAGCCAGGGAGAGAGAATTCACAAACTTCTGAGGACCAGAGATAAAAGAGTTGTCGTAGAGCGTATCATGTTCCTAACCCATTGTGTAATACTGGCTTCCCAAGTACTGTTGGCCTATTTAGTTGTCACATGTTTTATTAAGTTGAGAATACAGCTGGCTTGAAAAACTAAAAGTAATCCTTGAGCAAGAAGAGTACAAAGCCTGTTTTTCAAAATAAGAGTGGGACCACTCTGAGTTTCATAGAATAGGAGAGTATAGAGATGGGAAGGGGTGCGGGAGCTCTTTTGCAGAGCCGCAGGGGATGGCTTTAGGTAGCACCAAGGCAGGAAAGCAGTTCAAGTATCTCCGAAATGGCATGTCTAACTTTTTAGAGGGCCTCAGATGTAGCTGACTGGTTGAGTGCTTGTCTGGCAAGCTCAGGCCCCAAGCAAATTCTGGCTTTGATAAAATACTGTTCCTGGAGAGCAGTGATCTTACGCTGCAAAGAAAACAGCATTCAAAGTGTTTTTTCCAAGGCATTAAACTTTGACATGTAATTCAACACTTTGGTTTTGAGATTCTTCTTTATGTAACTCTTAATAATGAAAGCATGACAAAATGTACTTCTAAAACGGTGGTAAGAAATCTGCCCTTTGGCTGCAGTCCTCCCAGGTGTTAGTAATGTGCCTGGGTTTGTCATCTCTCTCTGGGTATAGAGACTTTTTCCCTGTCCTCACAGCTATTAGGGGAAGTTTATCCTTGTATTTCCAAAGAAAGTTACTGGGACTCCAGCAAGCTAATTCCAATCTGCCACTTCCAGTGCAGCCCAAGGCAAGAATAAAGACACTGAGACATAGTTATGGGGAACCGAGGAGTGCTGAGTCCAGCCAGGATGCAGATTCACCAGAATAAAAGGCATGACCTAGTGGCCAATCCAGGTTTTATTCATTCTCAAGGGGAATGTCTCAGGGATGAGTGACAGTGAATATCCCGAGCTAGGCTAGGTAGGGGGCCTGGGATCACCTGTGGGAGTGCAGAGTCATCTGCATAGCACAGCTAAGGCAGTGCTTAATGTACAGTCTGTGCTGGGAAGTCAGAGCCTCTTAGCTCAAGGCCATGAAAAGGATAAACAAATGGCCTAGTCAGCTTGGTCCTATCTATACGGTACATTTATATACATGGAGACAGGGCCAAGGACAGCCCAAATGGAGATAATTGCTCTTCTTGCAGGAGAGGCATCCAGGTGGGTCTCCACACCTGAAGACATAAGGTGGGCAGGGGGACGAGACATCCACAGAAACAGTGAATCCTACAGCTGGGGATCCAGCCCCAAATTCTGTCCCAAACTAGTCATACCTTGTGACAGAGCTGACCAGGCAGCCTGAAAATGGTTTTCTTCCATAGAGATCTGGCTTTACTATATTTGGTGAGAACCCTCCCTTCCACCCACCTTTCCAAAAGTGAATTCACCACTGAGTCCACAGTGAGAACTCTGGTGGAGTGAGGTGAGCCCTTGCTCTCTGGGTGAAGGTGAAGGAAGAGACCAAGCGTCCAGACGAGGCTGGGAGCTGGGTGTAGATTCCTCAGGACCCTCAGGCAGGGCTGGTCCCCTCCCCTGCCTTCCTCTGGGCCGCATTCTTGTTCCTCAACCCCAGCAGCTTTGAGAAGAAGAGGAGGGTGTTTCCTAGTCCCTGGTACAGAAGTGTCTGTCCTGGTGCAAGTGTCCTGAGAGAAGAGTGACTGCTTGAGTTACAGGGGGGTGGAGCCACCGCACATTCCTGAGCTAAAATAGCATTTGAAAGCCAGCTGCAACCTGAGACCTTCCTGTGTGGAGCCCTCCGCTCTTAGCCCATAACTGCAGAGGTCACTCCCTGCAGCCCTGTAATTAAGGGGGCTCCTGGCTACATTAGGCTAGTGTGATTGTGAGAAACAGGGCCCTCCAGGGCATCTGATCCCCTGACGCCAAGCTGGAAATGCCTCTTGGATTTGGCTTCCTCTATCTGATACAGCAGCTGGGCTTACAACCCCTGCTCAGCTGTGGGAATGGCCTTGGTTTGCTAATCCTGTTGCACCTCGAGGGGCCCAGCTCCTCCGCCTGACCTCAGAGGGCTGACCTGCTGTGATGGGGTGCAGTGAGTCCAGAGAGCAGCTCGAGGAGGCTGGGGAGCATTTGCCTGAAGTCTGAAAGCTGGGGTGTGGGCCTGCGTTCTGGTCCTGAGGTCATGAAATAAAAGCTTTGGCTCACCTGGGACATTATCCACACTTCCTAATTTCCCTTTCATGGATTTTTGAAAACTATTTGTGATGTCCATTAAAGGTAATGCATATTTCTAGATGCCCTTTCCTGAGGACTGCAGAAGAGAGAACCAGTTTGTACTCTTGCTCTGCTCCAGATTGATCACCCCCATATCACAGATGGCTGTGTTAGGTAGAAATAGCATAAGCGGTCAGACGGCCAGGCACTGGGGAGGTCAGTGCAGAAGACGTCTGTGGCCGCAGGGGCACTCACTGAAGGGCCGGCTTCCAAGCCAAGAGCTGCTCACTCAGATACCTCCCCTGGGAAGGAACCGCAGTCACTGATGTTCTAAGTGGGCACCAGTCGCCTTGGGGTAGATAGAGGACCACACCTCCCTAGCCTATCCCTTCCAGAAAGTTCTCATACACCGTGTCAGCTACGTGAGGCTTCCCTTTAGATCCCCATTTACTTAATACCCAAGCAGCCATGCTTGTTGTAACCTCATTGGTTCACCCTAGTCTGGTCACGCCTCACGCCCACTTTGGGAAACATCCCATTGGATCAGTATTACCTAAGTGACGATACTTGTAACCTCATTGGTTGATTATAGGTCTGTCCCACCTTGAACCCACCTCACCTCGTGGCCTTGCTGAGTAAACCCCCTCCCTGGGCCACTTCTGCCCCACTTAGATAGAAGCTCCTTTCTCAGTAAATTCTTCCTACTCAGCCTCTGTTCCTACAGCTCACTCCTGGATTATAGAGTGCTTGAACTCTGCATTTGAGACACCTAGCAGGTTGGGAGATTCTTTCCCCTCTGCCCCCACCATGAGGCCATCTTGCGTTACACGAAACAAAGTTGTGTATATAAATTCACCTGCACCTTGCATTAACCCTGGGATGGTGGCTCAGACATGTTGGTGGGCAAATAGTGTTCCTTCGACCTGTAACATCTCCCTGGTGGGTGACAGCACTCTGTTTCTTGTTGCTGCTTCACATTTTGTTATCTTCACGTACACTTTTTATTTTCCCACTCAATGACAGCTTGGTCGGCAAGCCTGGCAGAAGATTCCTGTCTAAATAATGTCTGCTGGCCCTGCCTGGAGGGTTTTTTTTTTTTTTTTGAGAAGTGATACATACATCTGTGTGTGTGTGTGTGTGTGTGTGTGTGTGTGTGTGTGTGTTATACACACACCCACATTATGCTTTGCAAAAGTACAGTGACAATACCAGAATCCAAAGCTGTGAGGATGCAGAGGTCAGGAGCACTGTGCTCACCCTGGAAGTTGTCTTCCCTGTGGTCCTTGCGCTGCTTTGTCATGCTGAGGCCCAAGCTCTCGGACATTGTTCTACTGAGAGCCTCATTTTATTTCAAAGAGAAGAGCCTCAGTCAGATCTCCTGTCACCTGGTTGCATATGGTTAAGAATCTGCAAAGTGCAGAACCACAATTCTGTACTTCTAGGTACTGCGAAGGCTGAGGCAGGAAGATGAGGCGCCCGGGGCCAGCCTATGCAGCATCAGGAAACCTTGTCCCCCGATGTGCATGCATATTCTGCACAAAGGAATAAATAATAATTGATAACCTGTCAGCCAGGCATGGTAGCACACAGCTGCTATGCCAGCCCTTGGGAGGCCGAGGCAGGAGAGTTGCCATAAATCTGCGGCAGGCCTGGGCCACAGTGAGCTCAAGACCAGCCTGGTCTACATAGCAAGACTGTCTCAAAAACAAATAAAAAAAAAAAAACCTGTTAAGCCTTTTGATTAGAGGTGAGAGGAAAAATTGTTGGCGTTTTTCCTCAGTGCTTGTTACAAAGTGTCAACATTTCGTGCTGTGCATTCCTTTTGGCCAGCAAGTAGTTTGTGTGACTGAAACCCTCACAGTGCAGAGACTGACCAGCGCCCAGCCCTGGGATGAAAGCCCTGGAAAGCTATCCCTCAGCCCGCTCCCTGATGGTCACTGGGCCCAGCCACAGGACCGCTGAGGAAGTCTGCTTTCTCTGAAGGATTCTTACACCCTATTGCCAAGGTCCATACTCCAGAGGAAGAATCTCTCTCCTTGGAGCCTTGATAGTTTCATGCCTTCAGGATTAAATCTCGCTGTCATGGAACCCCTGTCTGTAAACTTCAAAGATTCATCTAGCAAGGAAGGGAAGCCACCCATTTGGATGGCGGCATTACTAGCATTCAAAGTGGGGTGGAGACCTAACTTGTGGCGTTTGTTCATGTTTGGATTGAACCCGGGCCTTACACATGCCAGGCCAGTGCTCTGCATCATGGGGCTACGCCCCCAGCCTGCTGGGTCTTACTGTGAGACCGTGCCTTGCCAAGCTGCCTTGGAATTCGACAATCTGCCTGCCTCAGCCTCCCAAGAAATGGCATTACTGTGAGACCTTACTCAAGTCCTCTTCGTTTTCAGGGGAAATGGAAGGATTTTTTTCCCTCTCTATTTTTATGGCCAGAAGAATACTATGTGTTAACTCTAAACTATATACTTCTTAAAAGTACAACAGATTTCAGAGAGCCAGAGTTTCAAAGACATCGAATAAAAGATTATTATAAAGCAGTTATGTCCAGTTTTTAAAAAGTGGAGTAAACAGATGTGGTGGTGCACACCTGGGAGCCCAGCACTCCAGAGGCTGAGGCAGGAGGATCACTGCAAGTTCCAGGCTGGCCTAGTTAATCTAGTGAGTTCAAGGCCAGCCTGAACTAAATGCGGAGGCCTTGCATCCAAAACAAACAAAAATTGGAAAGAGAATGTTTGCTTTTACTTTTGCTGCTTCATTTTGTTCTTGGTGAACAGCCTCACCTACAAAACTGAGTGCCCGAGAGCCTTGGGATGTTGCGGAGTGGTCTCGGTCTCCTGTGGGCGGCCCTGGACGATCTGCCTGGGGTTTGTGGGGCTGCTCTAAGGTGGGCCCAGCCTAGCTGTGATACCCGCGGTGCTTCAGCTCTCTACCACACCCTGTGTACCTCGGAGGATTCACTATCCCCTTTACCAGGAGGAATTTTTGCTTGGGTTCGAAAATAACCCGTATCTTTTTTTTTGAGTCAGCATCTTGCTGTGTAGCTCAGGCTGGCCTCCAACTCAAGGGTACCCTCCTGCCTCAGCATCCTGAGTGTTGGGAGTACAGCAGTGCGCTGTCACACCTGGCAGTCCATGTCATCTGCAGTCATGGGCTCCGGGCATTTTATCGTGAGTCTGTCTTACCCTGCAAAGCCAGTAGGAGGCGCCAGTTCGTTGTCCTCGGCACGCCGGGCCGTGCTGGTAAATGCAGTCCCTGAGATTACAGAGCGGGACTGATCAGTTTGCCAGGACCTGCTGTGTTAG